ATTTCTCTTAAGCCCATAAATCAAATATTCTAGTCACTCTCATTTGTGTAAAACTTTTTCCAAATTGGTCGGATATTTTACTGGTCAGGATCGTATTCCCTTTGCAATCCACTAAATATGGGTTATCAAAAATGATTTGGTTAAAAATTTTAAACCTTGAGTTTGAATGTCAAAAGTTATAATCATTAGGCACGTAAGAGTATTTTCCAGCCTGGATGGATATCACTTTTTGCTAAGGATGTACAGTGTCAGTCCTACCTATGGGGTTTCCAGTTCCACTATCAGTGTTTTGGTTGCCCATCTAATTAAGCTATGTTTCATTTTTTAGGGTTTACGATATGCAGACCTTCTCCTGCTTGTGAGAAACTGATTTTCCTCACCACACATTCAACATGTAGTTCTTTTCGTTTGGGCCTCCGGTTTTTTAAAATATATGACAACGGCCTTATATATCATTTTGTAAGAAGGGTCTCCTAAAAGATGCACTACCAAAGTAAACCCAAGAACAAAGAAACCAAAGACTATAATCCTTATTGTCCGTCCAAATAGTGATAGGTGATTGTTGTTGTTCCAAATTGACAATTTGTTTCCTCACATTTTGTATAGAATGAAGTCTTAAAATTTTGAGTTATCCATAAGGGACACGTGCACCCCTGAAAAACGATTAGAAGCATTTGTGGAGATTTGGCGCAAACCCGAGACTATCTGCAACTTGTGTATGCTAGGTAGGAAAAACACCGATTTATTTCAATTAATCGAAGCTTATGACCATTCATCGTAGGTGTTTAACGTTTTTCTTATGGTTAGTATGTTAGGTTTATGATTGTTAACAACAATTGTTATGTCATCCGCTAAAGATATTCCTTTCCATTATATGTTGTTGTTAAATTTTATACCTTTCAAATTATTATTGTGTCTAATGTTGTCTAACAAAATTTTCATGTGCACCATAAATAAAAGAGGGGTCAGTAGGCAGCCTTGCCGCAGGGATCTGATCAAACCATATTCTTGTTATAGTTGTTCATTGACCATTATTACAGTTGTCGCTATTGAGTACATGATTATTACCCACCGACATAAGTTTTGGCCAAAGCCCAGATGTTGAAAAGTAGTCACAATAAAAACCTACCCTACGTGGCTATAAGTTTTTTCCATGGGATTATCACATTCTTGCTTTATGCTGCTATTACTATTAATGCTTGTATGGTTGTCGTGATGTTTTTCATTATATTTATGTGCTTGGCAAAACCCCTTGTTATTTCTTAATCAGTTCAGGTAAGTATCTCGCTATTCTCAGAGCAAGGGTTTTGACTAGTCAATGTGCTGAGACGGGCGTGGTCCTATATAAACATACTAGTTTATCGAGAACATTATCGAACGATGATTCATGGCGGAGAGCCGTATGATGCGAAACTGTCACATGCGGTTCGGAGGGCGGGAAAACACAACTCTCGACCCCTATTTATGATAAGTATTGGAGTTCTTGGATTTATTGTGTGGGCTCAAGATGGGTCTCTCTCATGGCAACATGAGAGTTCAATCACTTAGCTAAATAATGAGATCGGTTTCCATTTTTATATTTTATTACCTTTGTTATAGATAAGGGTGTTAATGTCTCTCGTTATAACATTGTTATTTATGTTTAACATGTAGAAGTGAATATGTTGTCAAACAGTTAGGAAAAATTATACCGACAACCCATCATCCACGGGACACTAACTTTTTGTGATTTGTTTAGTTGTTAATTTTACTTCCTCTTTTGTGATGGATCTGTTGAGGTCGAGCTTGACATGAGTTGATAGCGTGACCTTTGCTAGATTCCAAAAAATATAGATTTGCTTCACATATGTTTCCATGCTATCATAGGGTTTACGGATTGTAAGGACACCTTTAACGTAGAGGCATGCGTACTCATACATGAGGTTCAAGTCGTCCGTCACTGTAAGCTAGGTAGAAAATAAGTGTGCTAAGTAGTGTGTGACATTTTTTTTATTTTTTTTTTGCAGGAGCAATGTCATAAAAGTTATGTTGTCATATGACCCACAATTAAATTTTAATTGAGCTAACAAATTTCTCCACTATTTTTTGTATTGGATGTCTTTTTGTTATAGTTTATTGAGGTATCTCTTTCACATGTTTGTCCAATACTTGTTTCAGGTCGGATGTTCGACGAGGTTCATTTATGTTTTTCATATTTGTTGTTTATTGTTTTCTTTGTTTCTTCTTCTTCTTCATGTTGCATGCTTTAATATGTGATAACACATTGAGGGAGCCTTGCAACAATCTGAAATTGACTTCGGTCCATTAGTCTCAAACATCAATTTGGCATATTCCTATTAGGACGTGACGTCAGATCCAATCAATTATGTTGAGTTCAAAGTACAATTTACCAAACTTTCCTCTCTGATTAATTTCGAGCTCGGGTACGATGAGAAAGTTATATGAGAGTGGTGATGTGCAAATGTTTGTCTTCAAGTATGTGTCTCAGACCTTCCCTCGCATGACTACGAAATCTTGTCATCGTCGTACTGGGGGAACTTGAGAACCGTACCAGGTATACCCATGAGCATCTGAATGTATGGTTCTATGTGAATATGTGAATCCTTACAAGATTATGAGTGAATGAAGTAGTATGGAATCCGCTCTTAAAGCCATGGGTTTTGGAATGTCCGAGACTAGGTTTAGGATCGTGTTCCAATTTGCAACTATTATCAGATTTTCCTCGTTTGGTATGAGGATTGACATTTCTGACATGTTCCGCTATAAATCTCGTTCTCTCCATATAATCCACATGTAAGTATACAAACACGATGGTCCATGCGTCTACTGCAAATTTAACCGAAACCTATTTCCTCCAAGCGTCTGTCATACTGTCAATTATTTATGTTTTCAGATTTTTTTGAAAAATTATCCCTGTACCCCCATGAGTACCCGTGCTACCTTATTTTCCCCTCACTGGTGCCCAAAACTCAGGGTCAGTCCACCATCCAGAACTGGAGGTAAGAGTTGCTGAACCAGTTTTGAACAACTGCGCTCATGTAAGTTCCTACCGAAGGTTTCACCGATGATATTCTGACCGGTGTTGGGGCATTACCCTATAACCTGTTTGTAGTAGGAGAGTGAGGCCTGGCAGAGAGATCTGGTGATTTGTCGAGGGTGGAAGGCAATCCGGTGGCTAACTGAGGGTTGCTGCTGAGACAACCAGAGTTGGAGCTGGGGTGGGTCACGCTGCCCTGTAGCCCTGCAACCATGTAGCCCTGTAACCTTGTAGCCCTGCAGCCCTGCAACCCTGTAGCCCTATAGCCTTAGCAAGTTAGGGGCGGGAATAATCTTGGTAGTGAGAACATGACAGCTATGGTAGGTTTTGGAGAGGCTGATATTGCCTCTTGATTGTAGGGTTTGGTAGAAGTGGTCATGGTTTCCTCATCAAGTTCATAGCACTTCCATAGTCATCATCATCATCATCATCATCATCATCATCATTTAGCCGAAGCCGGGTAATGGCTTCGGTATTTCGGGTTCCCAACAAGTGCTGCTCCCCCCCACCAACAGTGTCCTCCGGTTCTGGCCAGTCAGAGGTATGATCCCAGGGCTGCGCTCAAGAAAACAAAAAACAAAACAAAAGTCAGGGCTGCGCTAAAAAAAAAAAAAAAAAAAAAAAARWMARGRMMAMRMWAAAAAAWAAAAAATAAAAAAATGTGTGAATCATTTTGTCTGGGATGAGAACTGGATTCTTTTCGGAGCCGCTGTGATCCAATCCCAGGACACTGGCAGCAAAGATTGGGGCTATGTAGCGGTGGTAATTCGAGCGGTCATTTTCTGGATCATCTGGGAGGAACGAAACACACTGCTATTTCAAAAGAAATTCTTGTCTGACCAGACCTTTAAAGCAAAGATCAAGCACAATATTGTGCTTGCAATCAAGGGCGACTGGTCTAGCAAGGTGTCGAGAGCCCGGAATAAGAGTAGTGGAGTGCGATGGTTCCAAGGAAATTGGGCCAGAAATGGGCGGTTAGCGTCAATAGGAGGAGGCAGGCTACATGTTTCGAACTGGCTGTTTGCGATTTAGGAACGACCTGAACACTCGGTCTTTACTTCCACAGTAGGAAGGCAGAAGTCGGAAGGTAAGAGGGGCTGGAGGGAGTGTTATACGAAGTCTGGTCCATCGTAGGTCCACAGTCCCGAGAATAGGGTCTGGAAAAGAGCGACCTGAACGCTCGGTCGTAAATTCCACAGTAGGAAGGCAGAAGTTAGAAGGCAAGAGGGGATGGAGGGAGCGTTACTTCTAGACCTCTCCTAGATCCACAGTCCCGAAAATAGGGAATGAATATGCAGAAATTGGATCAAAGAGGTACTCCCCGGTCCGTCATAGATCTGGATCAAAGAGACGACCATACATTAGTAGGTTAAATTGAAGTATAGTTGATCTATCAGTGCTTACAATAGTGTTAGTATGGTTTTGTGATAGGATTGTAGTTTAGGCAGAATAGGCCCGCAGTTTTGTTATAGGTTTGTAGCTAGGCGGAATAGGCCCACCCCACACAGGTTATCAGTTGACTCCCTATAGGATTTTGTTAGCCAGATAGATATATAGAACCCTTCGTAGGACTAGATAGAGTAGGCGGTAGCCCTAGGAATTACGCAGCCAACGAGCTGCTGGGTCTGTAGGAAAGACCTGCAGGCTTTTAGTCTGTAAGCTAAGCTGGATGATGCTTCCGGATATCTGATCCGAACCAGGAAGTAATGTAGAGGACCCCGGGGCAAGGTCCCACTTGCACGGTGATTGATAGATTCTGGCCGTCGATCTCTGCTATCTACGGTCAATATCGCTTAATTCGTGTAAGTGGGACCTAGCCCCCGGCCTGTTAATGATTTTATGTAATTGAAACTGAATTTTGAGGGAAAACAAAAAAAGCCAGGGCCGCGTTGGCTCCCCACCTATCCTCTGGTCGTGGACCGCGCAACGGATAAGGTTTAGCAGGGCGGGCGGGGAAAGACGCGCGAGGAGTGGGCACAGGTGGGCGGCGGGTGCCGACCGAGGGCGGGGGCGGGGACCCTTTTTCACCTCTTTGGAGCCCGAGCGCCGCCAAAAAAGTTGGCGGCTTTTCTGAATTGATCGGCCCGCCAGCAGGGTACGCTCCCACTCCACACCATTTTTGGCAACGCTCCCGGGTCCATCGCCGAGCGGGGACTGCGGTTCATTGCGCGGCACACCGGCCAACCGCCGAAACGCCACGTGGAGGCATTCGACTACCGGTAGTTCCGCTCCAGTGCCGTGACGTGGTTTCCCCGCTTTCATCACCCAGGAAGCGGCGATGGCTGCCGTGGCGCTGTCATCCGTAGGCGCCAGCCTGGGGAAGCTGTCGCTCTCTGGTCCTGTTGCGCTGAACTCCCGAGCGACGGAGAAGACATTGACGCTCTGCCGCCCAAGCAGTTGCTCTCCGGTTCTTCGGTCGCCCATCTCGTCGCCCA